CCTTTTCAGCATTCACACCAACTCGGGCACCTCGGGAGCGTGAAACCCGTACCGTGGTCTGCAGCACCACGGCCCCTGAGGGGCTCTAATTCCTATGCTAGTCAACTATGGTAATATTGTATTAACAATTTTATCTACAATTGTATTAATTCTGCTCAATTGCCGCCCCTGGGATGTATAGAGTCCACAGGGGCTTAGTCAATATCAGGTATCGTTATAAAACTAGTTTGTTTCCTCCTAGAATGGACTGTACGGGCAGCCATCTTGTATGCTAGATCCCGTAGTACCCTTATGTAAACTATCCATATTTGTTTGTAAAGTTAGAATCGTCCGTAAAACGCGCCAAGTCGTCAACGTTAATTCCATTCCGATCCCAATACAGAATACGAATCCACACAGTCACAAGCCACGCACGAAGAAACAAAATTCACGAACAAGCAGGAAAGCGGGTTGACGGCAGATAGGTGATCTCCCGCCTGTGATACCAGAATCGTGGGCCGTGGGCCCCCCACTATGACCTACCGACGTCTCTCACTGTATCGCCCTCGAGCTCTCACCCAAGTGTAGCGGTAGCTCTGTCCGTGTGCGAAGCCTGTTCGGCTCTTTCCGCCAATTAATACGTCACCACGTGACGCTCGAGCAACGTGAGCGCATGAGTAAGAATTAGATTTCCTTTGAACTTGGTGAGACGCAGTGTTTCGAGTATGTATATGGGCGTTCGGTACAAAAATCATAATTTCTAAATTAATCAATTTTCGACCTAAGTTCTCTAATACTTTTTTGAAGAGAATTCAAATATGCATTGATTGGCACATAAAAAAATATATGGTTTCATGTAAAAAAATTGTAGTGATCTTTATTTTTTATCGAATAAAAACTTTTTCGTAAATTTTCCTTAACACGATCTATTGTCAACTGAATACTGATTAACTTTTGTTTGAAAAATTTTGTTTGAAATTTGTTTGAAAACCTGAAAGTAAGGGTGTGCATTGGAGGTGATGTGCGAATGTGAGGGATGCGTGTATGGAATGAAGGAATGGATTTAGAATCTTTTAAACTTTATTCGTTTTACTTTTCATTTTTAATTGTTGTGTATTTTCACTTTATAACCTCGCAGTAAAATACAAGCTAGAAAAATGTTAAAATGAGAAGCATTTTCAAAATTAGACTTTTTTGTTAATGATATATGTATTTCGAGTTGCCGAAAACCGTTGTAGCTGCTCCATGCATATACGATGTCGAATGGTCTTCGCTGTCCCATATCTGAAAGAAAATAAACGCGCAGTTTAAATCGTGACTCTAATAATATCAGAGAAATACTAAAAGTGCTATAAACTTATCTTTTTTTTGTTTCATTATTCTGTAATTTGTATCCCTAACTTCTGAATGCAAATGCCCCGCTGCCGAAAACCATATGTGAAAGAAAATAAATGCACAGTTTAAATCGTGACTCTAATAACACCAGAGAAATACTAAAAGTGCTATAAACTTATCTTTTTTTTTGTTTAATTATTCTGTAATTTGTCTCCCTAACTTCTCAATGGAAGTGTCCCGTTGTCGAAAATCATATCTGGAAAAAAACATACACATAAAGAAAATTATAATCAGAATTACAATAATATAAGATATAATATAAATATTATTGTAAACTTATCTTTTTTCGTCGACAAGAATATATCCATCGATGTAAAATATCTCGCGGAAGAATTACACTTGTATATGTATACGAAGGAATGCGTATATATGCAGAAATATACGTTGCGAAAATGCACGCGATTCTTATAAGGGGGATTGCTACAATTGCAATTGTTTCATAATTTCAAAACAGACCCGCCAACATAAAAAAAATTTAAATGCTAGAAAAAGGGCAACAAGAGGGCAATACTATAATATATGCTAGGGATGTTCGTACGCATGCAAGGTCAACTGTTTAAAGTTTCGCGAGTGCGACAACCTAGCATATAACTGCTTCCCCGACATTAAGTTTAAATGCCTGTCATCGACAGACATGGTACGGCTAGTTTCTCCTCTAGCTTTTAAAGATGTGCGTACCGCACGCATGGAATTTAGGAGATCAACTCCTATCTTATTCCTTTTCTTAGATTTTATGTCGGGTAGCATCGAAAATATTCTCTCGGACTCAGCATTTGAGTGTGGTAGACACCGTACAGTGCTAAGTAGCTAAGTGAGGTAGGGGAACAGAAAATTTTGGGAGGAATTTTTTTGTGTGCAGATGTCTATCCACATATCGTCGAATGATAATGTTGCCCACATTTCTTTATTTACATCGGAAATGCCGTAATACAAAAAGTCCCATTCTTTTTGCAAATCTTCGGCATTGAAATTCCCTAATCTTCGAGCGACAGCCATGACATTCTGATAAGTCAAATGTCTATCGCTGTTGTGGAATAAATTTATCGGCTTGAAAACCGTCAACTGATTAAGGAATATATCGTCATGAGGAAGACGATTCCTAATTTCATTGCTTACGGTAATATAAAACCGTAAACAATTTTCTCGGAAGGAATGTACCTCAACTTCCGACATTCCATTGTCAATTGCCTCTTTCAGGTGGTGTCTACAATCAGTACCAAGATCCACTTCATTTAGTGAAACTTGGTTTGATTGACTCGTGAAATCAATTTGCCTAACAAAATTAAAGTGCTTTAGAAGAAGCTGTTTCAAAAACCTACGCAAGAAAAATTGAAGCAACCATGCTGAAGAAGGCTGCAATTCCTGAACCATTGTATCTCTACTCTGGAAGGAGGCATTGAAAGTATTTAAAACATTTAAAGTATATTCTAAAAAATAGAAATATCCTTTAATGTCATGTCTGCTAAGCAATAAGAGGAAATTGCTAGCAGCTTCTATTTTAAGAGAAAAAGATTGCTCCTTAAAAAATCGGACTAAATCGTTCCAGATTTGCAAAAATCTGCTAACACACTGGTGCATCGCAAGCCAGCGTGTGTCAGATAATTTGAGAATTTTTACAGGAGAGTTCGCATAACTCTCCTGAAATTGGCGGAAAATTGTAGCCCGTTTTGGGCTACTGGTTATGAAAGATGCTACACCCCGGAGCAATTCAAAGCACTCTCTGGGAATTGTAGCACACGCAGCACTTGCCGCTAACGCTACAGAATGACAAACCCACGGCAAAGTGACAACATTGAGGTTCTTTTCAAGTAACTTTGCCTTGAAAAAAGAATGTCTGCCAGTCATAACTGTGGCATTATCACAACAACTAAGAGCTGTGATGTTACTCAGCGGAATATGCATTTTCAGCAATTGATTTTCGAAAAATTTGAAAATCTTTTCCGCTGAGCAATCGCTGGCATCCAGATGAATTAGTTGCAATAATTCAGTAGTATTAGATAAGCGGTGTGGCTCAACATATTTTACAGCCAATGTAAGCCACTTATCATTAGTGGAATCTGAGGTTTCATCCTCATATGATGTTTCTCAGCGGAATATGCATTTTCTACAATTGATTTTCGAAAGATTTGAAAATCTTTTCCGCTGAGCAATCGCTGGCATCCAGATGAATTAGTTGCAATAATTCAGTAGTATTAGATAAGCGGTGTGGCTCAACATATTTTACAGCCAATGTAAGCCACTTATCATTAGTGGAATCTGAGGTTTCATCCTCATAAATTGAAAATTTATTATGCCGTACGTTATCGATCATGCGTTCCGTTTCACGAACGCATAAAACATTGGTGATGATCTGTTTGCACTTTGTGCGTCCAACAGTTATCCCTTGTAAAACTTGGAGCTCCTTCTCTATATCTTGCATAAGAGCAAGAAAATTCGAAGCTACTTGGGCTTGTGAATCTTCCTTTGCCCGCTACGTTCATTTCACTGTTTACATCACAGAATGTAACACCATTTCTCATAACTGTGCCAAAAGGGAACAGTTATCCAGAACTAGAACTGAACCTATCCGGTTATTCTCGAATGGGCCACTCTTCTGCAATTATCTTCTGCAAAATTTTCGGCAATTAATACAAGAAGAGGATATTAATCTGCACTATATTTACAATATGGATGAAAGTGGTCTTCTCTGGAAAGCGTTTCCAACAAAAACGCTTTCTTGCGATAAAAATGTTGTAAATGGATATAAAAGTCGCAAAGACCGATTTACAGTAGGATTCTGCGCTAACGCGACTGGAACAAATAAAATGATACCTTTAATTGTTTATAAGTACCATAGTCCAAGAGCATTGAAGCATGTATTACACAGGCTTCCTGTAATTTTTAAAGCCCAAAAAAATGCGTGGGTTGACGAACAAATATTTGTAAGTTGGTTTGAAAACTATTTCGAACCATCGGTGCGCGTACATCAATTGAAAAATGGCACCGTTGGGAAAGTAATTTTATTACTGGACAATTGCGCTGCGCATAGAGTGCCCGAAGATCTAAAACACCAGGAAGATTTTAAAATAATATATCTACCGCCAAACACGACGTCGATCCTACAACCCATGGACCAGGGCATAATTGCAAAAACGAAAAAACTATACAGGAAGCATATGCTTCAAACAGTGTTGACGTATGCAGGAGGTATCACAGAATTTTATAAAAATTATAATATAAAAGACTGCTTAGAAATATTAATACAAGCGTGGTCCGAGGTAACTGTGGAAAATTTAAAAAATGGCTGGAATAGACTAATTGCGGAGCCTTCAATTGCCACATATCCGGAAGAAGAGGAACAGTTAGAAGAATTAATTTCAGCAATAAGCGAAGGAGAAATTTCACCTGCAGTAGCGACAGTATTCCTATCTGCATGTTCACAAGAAGAAAAAGTTTTCAATGAAAATGATGTGAACGTATGTGAGGAAGAAAAAGAAAGTGAAGAGAATGAAGATGCGTGTGAAAATGAGAGAACAGCCACAAGCTCGAAATCAGAGCGTATAAAACATATTGTGCAGTGCTTAACACTTTTGTCAATGCGAGGCACTAAATTGGCGTTGGAATTAAACAAACTATTATCAGAAGATTCAACGTAAAAAACTATAAATAAATAATATAATTATAGATAGTCATACTTTATACAGAATGTTAACGGATGAAGATGACATTTAATTTTTTAAATAGAATTTAAATTCTATTCTATGCTGACTAGTAAATCCGTTAACATTCTGTATAATTATAAATAGGTGCAAGTTGTAGTTTTGTAATTTTTTGTTAGTTTCATTAATTTTAGTAATTCTTTTGAATTTTTTGACTTTTTGTAATTTTTTAATTTTGTATAACTTTGTAATATCCTGTAATTTATTTAATTTCTTATAATTGCTCCTATATTTTTTAATTATGTATCATCTTAGAATTTTCCATAATGTTTTGTAAATCCTTATATGTAATGTTTTTTAGGTGTCTTATATTTAATAGATATAGTAAAGACATAATAAAGTGTGGATGTATGTAAATATGTACTAATTATTTATAGGGAGGGCGTAATTATGTGTGTATGTACATATGTATGTGTGGAATTTCTTATTAAGTAACTAAATATACACCGAATTATACCGTGTTTGGTCTCATTTTAATCAGAAAAAAAAAATGGATATGTTAGTAAAATTTTTATCAGCAAAACACAAAAAACAAAAAAGTTGTTCTTTTGTATTAGTGTTGTCTCACCGATATGTAGGTGTTTGATAATTTAGGACTGGCTCGACTTTCAATACCTCTCTCTTCTTTGGCTGCTGTCCCTTTCTGCTTCCGTCGGTGTCGGTAAAATACAAAGAGTTTGAGAAACCTACCACCTTTTCCGTAGCTGTTACACAGCGGTCCCAACTTTGGAACTCTTATAGAACTTTTACTGTATCGAGAATTTCGGTAGAACCTTTACTGTAACGGATATTGAAATTTTCATGTTAGTATCAAATGGGTATCAATTCTTCCATAAAGGTATGGAACGATTATCGATACCTTCATAGAAGTATCAAACGGGCGTCGATACTTTCATAAAAGTATCGAACGGGTATCGATACCTTCATAGAAGTATCGAACGGGTATCGATACCTTCATAGA